CTTGCATGCAGTGTCTCCAGAGGACCGCAGGGGGCAGGAGCAGGGACGTGAATAATCTAAATAATGTCTTTCTGTGGTGTGCATAATTAAATTCTAGGCAAAACACAAATCAGTTCTAAACATGTATAGTGAAATCTAATTTATCTGGGCCTGCCTTCTGCATTTTACAATTATTATTGTTTGATATAAAACTTATTTCAGAAAGTGTATGAATTTTACATTTGGATAAAATATGGAAGGGCTGTCAGGTTCTTATTGGTAAAAAAAAAACAACTCCTTGCAGAGCAGCTTCATCCTCTCTATTAGTCTTGGTGACCATCGTCACTGGGGCAAAGTGATGGGAAATGAGAAATCTTAGAGTTATAGAACGGGAGGCGAGAGGAAATCGTGCAATGGATAAACTTGTTCTGGTGACAATTGTCCGGGAGGAGTCATCAGCTTGCTTTGGAGACACCTCCTTTTACTTCGTGCTGTGTCTCTTGGACAGGAAGTGAAGGAAAGTATTGACCTTATATGGTCTCAATTGAGAAAATATGGGGACCCACCACACCACACCACCATTAATAGAGTCCAGTTGAATAATAGATCTTAAAAGGATCAATATGATGAAATGAATGACATTTTGGCTCCAGATGAACTCAAGTTCAGACTGAAATTGAGATCATTCCTAGTTGCCACACTAGGCTGCTCTTATGTGAACTACAAACACAGCTACCTTTCTTAATCTCCATTACATAAGGGGAAGAGGAGGGGAAATCCTACAATGGATAAACTTGTTCTGGCGGCAGTTGTCCGGTAGGAGTGATCAGCTTGCTTTGGGGACTCCTCCTCTTACTTCCTGCTGTGTCCCTGGGACAGGAAGTGAATAAAAATATTGACCTTATATCGCCACGTGGCCATATTTGGTAAATTCAACTGAGAACAAATGGAGGGGCCCAGCCCCAATTAATAAGGTCCAGTGTAATAATTCATTTTAAAAGGATCAGTATGATGAAATGAATGGCATTGACCTATGCCATGTGGCCATACAAGTTTAATGATGTCACCAGCATCCTGCCTTTGTTTACATGCAGCCGTGAGGTGTGAAATGCCCTGGCCGCAGCTGATTGGGCTGGCATGGACAGCTTTTTTTCAGGTTCAGATTAAGTAAAATTTGGACCAAACCTGAGCTCATCCCTCGTTGTCACACTAGGCTGCTCTCCTTATATGAACTACAAACACCTCTTCCTTTCTTGATCTTCATTAGATGGGGAGGGGTGGGGACTGTGAATTAGAGAAGATAGCTTGGAAGATTGTGCTTTTAGTTAAGTTCATAGTAAGTTACAAGTATATGTCATATCCGGCAAGATCAATTGGTATTTTCTGTATGTGCTAAAAATGTTCCTAGCTTGAAAAGTGAAAAGTAATGCAACCACCACGTCTAAGGATTGGTAAACTGCAATAGATTACATTTTTGCTCTTTGGTTTGATATCCCTTTATGCCTTCACTCTACCAGTAAGGTTAGCGTATACATTCTGGAGTACATGACCTTTTCAAAGCCTATTTCCACCTTTGCAGATGTATTTTCTTAAGAACATATGCCAGCAATGTACACCAAGTGTACATGAAGCAGACATACTGTATGCAGCTGATGTATATGAGAAAACAGAAACTTACATTTTTTTGATAGCTTTCCTCTTCATATCTGCATGGACATTTCTGCCTGGGTGCTTTACACGAAATGTGTGTATACCTCTAGCCTGTCTCCTCCTCCACAGCAGCATTGAAGGCTTCCTCAGCGTCCTCACATCTATACATTATGTATAGAATGTGACGATTTACAGGACTGTAGACCGCTGCACAGGAGGGAAGAGAGAGGCTGGAAGGACCGGTCTAGGAAAAAGCCGACTTGGAGTGAAGCTTCAAGACAGTACAACTTTTTTTTTTTTTACCTAGAAACAAACGAACGCTTAACCCCTGTAGTGCAGGTGTAGCCCCACTGCAAGGGTTAATAAAACATTTCCCGGAGTTCTTCTTTAATGATAATTTAGACATCCAGTGTGGTGATTAAATAATCATTCTGCCCACAGTGTGGCTTTAAATTGATCTCTTTTGAAGGAGAATGATGGGGTGAGTGAAAAACACTCATCCCCATAATTAAAGCCGACCTGTCAACACTGAAGCTGTCACAGGTCAGCTCTATTGATCAGGAAGTCAGCGAACACACACCGCCAGACACTGACTTCCCGATCTTTCCTGCAGAGAGCACTGCCTGTCAGTCATCCCTCCCTGCAGGGATTCCCCCCTCCTCTCTCTCCGATCCTCCAGCACTGACTAAAGGAACGGACGGGGAGGGATCGGCGACAGCTGGCTCTGCTTCTAGAGAGCCAGCTGTCAATCAGCCAGTGGGGTGGATCTCAACAGTATTGTCAGTATCCGTCCCGGCTGTAACGCTCTCAGCATTTAGCGTGCAATAGCCCGCTATATTCTGAGTTTTGGGTCACAGGAGGACATTAGCATATGTCCTCCTGTGACCCTAAAGAGAACAATGGCAAAAAAAAAAATTAAAAATTGGGCAATAGTTCTCTTTTCACTTAAAATAAAAAAATATAAAATCTAGCTTCCCTTTAACAGCACTTTTCCATAAACAAAAAGCCAATCCACTAATCCTATAACCTTTTTTTTTTTTTGCGCATAGGTGAGGTTTTCTTTATTCCAGCCACATACGCACGCACATTCACATATATAACCCAGCCGCTCTAACATATAATTATCACAACAGAGGAGGCTCGGATGGCACAACAAAATGTGATTATCTTATGTAATGTAGCAGAACACAAACACCCGAGATAAATTAACACATGAGCTACAAGCCTGAAGCTTGATCTGTGTCTATACTCTAAAAAGAACGCATTTGATTCCAGAGTTGCAATCCAAGGTCATAATGGTATCAAAATAAGATCATTACTCAGTCTAACAAGCTCAGTCTGATGAGCTGCCTTTATAGCCCATTCTATCAAAATCATTTGTTATGGCCGCTTCTATTTCTCCAACTCGGCGCTGTTTATCACATCATTAGAGAGCGGGAAACCATTAGCAAATTAGCTCAAATCGTCATATTTGATTAGCGCAGGTTTTTCTGTCAGCACCTGCTGATATACAAGCTCTCGTCTCATTATTTTCTCAGAGAGATCAGATAACTTCACACAGGGAACGAACGAGTAGCGTTGTTAAGAATTCGGTATTCCAGGGATGAGAACAGATTTATTCAAACTTGGGAGATACATATCAATTCTTTTCCCCTCCTGGGAGAACGAGACAAGTAGGCCTTCATTTTATTTTTATAGAGTTGACGCTGCTAGATCATCGTTTTTGGAAGGAAAAAACGGTTTTCGACTGTTTAATCTATTCATGCAGTTGCTCCTGTCGATTTCTCTACCTCTCTTTTACCATATTTCAACTAAGGTGAGAATAAGCCAAGCCAATCTATTTTGCAGAACCCAACGAATACAATAAAATGTATATAATAGTTTTATCATTTATATAATAGTTTTTTGAAATGCTGTTTTGCCATTGTTAATAATCTACACCACCCGAAAACAGCTGCAAATCTTTTCAATTGGGAAACTGGAGCTAGATCACTCCTTAGAGGAAAAGTTTTTAGTCTTTTTTTGGCCAAAACTGAAAATATAATTCCAAAACATTTCCATTTTAAAAATCAGTGAAATCGGAAATCCTGCATATTATTATTTCACATTCATTGCTATCCAACAGGTGGAACTCCCAACAACATTTTACATGATTGACAGATTCTCCTTAGCTCCTTTGATGTAAAAAAAAAATTCTGCCTGACAAATTCTGCTGCGGGAGGTGCGTTGCAGTGCCATTTCAATGCACCTCCCACCAACAGTGTGAGTGCCCGCACTGGACCGCACGGTACCGCAATCCTGAGCGTTCCAGTGCAGTGTGATTGCAAAAACAATGTGCATGCAGTTTTATTCTAAAGTAACCTTTATGTTTGTAAGACGCATTTGTGTATTTTATTTTAAATTAAGGATGCCATTTATTTTAATCTGATTAATTGAAAAAAATATCGGCCAACTAATCGATTATGAAAATAATCATTAGGTGCAGCCCTACAAAACAACGACTTGTTTGTTTCTTATAGGACAGCTCCTTCTGAGGTTTCAAGACAAAATGTGCCAAAAGGCTGGCAGCTTTTGTTATGCCATCACAGTGGGTAACCCATAGTGCTGTGGGAGTCCTATACCATTCAGGACAGAATGGCATTCTCTTCCAATAGCCTGATAACTAGATAATAATGTGTATTTACACCAAAATCGGAAAAGGAAAACGCTAGTCAACAGAGAGTTCGTTGACTTGCAATTGTACCTTCCAATTTCCTTCCGATCCCTTTTTCAATGGATGCTAAAGGAGCAGCAAAAAATGAATGGGTGTGGTGAATGAAGCTAGTTCACACAAAATCTGCTCCGTTATGCTGAAAAAAGTAGTGCATGTTCAAAATAATATAACGCAACAGGACACAATAGTGTAAACTAGACCCATTCAAAACCATTCATTTTCGGTGCCCTTCCGTTAGCATGCGCTGAAAAACGTATCACAACTCAACAGATCGCAATGCAACGCATCCGGTGTGAATGGGCCCTAAAGGTGCAATAGCAGATAGCAAACTTTCAGAGATCACCCATGCACCCTTTCCTTCAGTTAACCATGCTCCCATTGTTAGATACCATGCAATGCAGTATAGCCTAACTGGCAGAGCAGGCCTTTGAGTCCTAATGTGCAGGGTAAATGGAACACTAATATTGCAATGGGAAATTTCAACCATTTATATATTTAAAAACATATTCAATAGAATTTAATACACAACTAATTAGGCTGGAGTGGAAGCTTAGTATTATGTATTTAATGGAATTTCATCAAGCAAAAGCAACATGTAGGATTGCAGACAACGATGACACAACACCTTAACCAAGTTTCTATACTGAGACCATCTTACCTCGATACCACTTTGCCTTGCCAGCTTGACAGCTGTGTTATAGTAGCCACAGCGCAGTAGATGTTCCACCATCATGCGGTCCATACGTTTCTTCTTCCACATGTTGACAGCAGCCGCTTGGTCACTGCTGTGTTCCTTCAGGTGTTCAATCCGCCTCTTACACAACTTGGCACTCTCATCCTCTGCCTGGATCGACTCCACTGCCTGGAAGAAGAGAGGTCTGCTTAAAAGTAGATCCTTTTCTTTAGATCTGGGTTGCTCAAAATGCAGGACTGTGGTGAAGATCTGCTTTGTGAGAAAATACATACACTTAAATGTCAGATATCATATGCCGGTATCGTCGGGGGCCCTGGGGAAAGCATTATTTTATACTTCACTGTATATTTTAGACAATTTTAGGATAGACGTGTTGGGTCACCATGCAACTAGTGGAGGGACTCTTGCTTCTTGCCATCAGTGGCGCGAATCGGAGAATTAGCTGCTGTGCAGGGATGATGGGAGTATAATGCAGAGAGAGAAGACGGCTTAAATGCAGCACTAGGGCTTAACATATGTCCCAAAAAAAATTACATGGGTTATTCACAGAAGGGTGTAGAGTTTGGAGAAGTGAACAATCTAGGACAACATAGCCGATTTGGTAACATTCTCCAATCCAGTTCATTTTCCAGTTCAGCTCTGTGGTCCTAGATTGTTCACTTCTCCTGCCTTCTCCAAACTCTTCACCCCTTTGTGAATAACCCTGTAAATGTTTGAAGCTTCTGGACCAGATAGTTAACACCCACGAGTCTCGGTTATTTCTCAGTTTTTGTTTTAAGTTTTTGGAGACTTTAATGATTAGGTTGGATCAACACAAATGTGCAAAGCAAATGTGGTACCAAAACCTAAAAAGGATCAAGGTCTTTACTCTACAGATCTATAAGTCTAAGTCATATGGTAGGAAAGACATTGAAGGGAATGGTAAAGAACGACATTCAACAGCATGTGACAGAAAATAACATCATAAAAGGAACAGCCAGCACAGCTTTATGAAAGAGATGTTATCAAACAAATCTTTATTTTTATGAGGAAGTAAACAGAAACTTGGACACTGAGGTGACTGTGGATGTTATATATTTGGACTTTGCCAACACGTTTGACATGGTTTCTCCAAGAATGCTCAATGTGTAAATTCAGAACCAGAACTTACTGACTTAGACCCGACTGATTTCAATCTTAGGACTGGATCTGTAAATGTGTATAAGACCTGGCTTGAAAACTTTAACCAGACGGTCATTATGAATGACGCACACTCAGAATGGACTTTTGTAATCAATGTTTTCGTAAATGATACAGCGATTGAGATCAAAAGTTCCATTTGTGCATTTACAAGTGTCTCAAAGCCATACAGTGGAATATAATCCTTCAAAGATGCTTGATGAAGACAAACTGTGTAATTAGACATCCTCATGGCAATGGTTAAATATTGCTAAATTGTAAAAGTTACCCATCTAGTTGGGTAAATTTGGATGCATCAATAGCCGTGAAGGATCCAGGTGTTCAGGTAGATCACAGACTTAAAAGGAGAACTATGGGGTCAGGGCTTTTACCCCTAGTTCTCCTTAGGGTAACGGGAGGACACAAACTAGCGTCCTCCCGTCACCCTAAGCTCAGTATAATGCAAGCTACAGCTCGCGGTATACCGAGACGCCGCAGCTGAAGCGGATCCCGACAATTATGTCTGGATCCGCCCAGTTGCGTGAGTGACAGCTGACTCTGCCTATCTAGAGGCAGAGCCAGCTGTACCCTCCCCCGTCCGTTCCGCCAGTCAGCGGTGGAGGATCGGAGCGGGGAGGGGGGAATCCAGCCCCTCCCCTGTCACGGCAGAGAGCCGTGACAGGATCGAGAAGTGAGCGAACGCCAGTATGTGTTCGCTCTCCTCCCGATCTACTGAGCCGACCTGTGACAGTCTCATTGTCACAGGTCGGCTAGAACTATGAGGTGAGTGAAAAGCACTCACCTCACAGTTCTCCTTTAAGATAACATGGAATACCAAAGAATTATTACATCCTCATTCCGAATATGTAGCTCAGTTTTGAGTGCAAGTTCACAAATAGGATGGCCTGGAACAGGAAAGAATACAGAGACGGGCAACGTAACCACCTGAAAGAGGAACTTTACAGTTGTTTTCAATATAACAACAAAGGCACCTTTAGAAATGACAATCTACAAACAGATACCTATAGATAATTGCTGACTTTGTATTTTTTGCATACCTTGATTTTCTTTTCTTCCTCAGCCTTCTGACAGTGGCCATTTTTTTTAACTAAAGGCAGATTACTAGATCTCCCTTTACTTCCTGGAACTCTGGCAAATGTGACTTGGACATGTGACCATGCACATCTTTCCAGATCTCATAAGATTACAGATGAGATTTCCAAGCAATGCTCTGCTGATGTAACCCTTCCAGGATGCAATTCTTGGGCACAATTACATAATTTGTGCCAAAGAGGATCAGGAAGTGGGTAAAAAGAAATTGTAAGTAAAAAAAAAAATATATGATTGTTTAGCTAATGAACGTAAGATGATTTCATAATAGCATGCAAAGCTGTATGCTGATGCAATGTTTAGTCATGGGGGTAAAGGTCCACTTTAGGGGATTTTAATTTCCAAAGCATTTCCTGGGCTTTCTGATTGTGTGCTCACTGTGACTGGCCGTCAGAGTGGTCATATGATCAGGAGCCCGTCCTACCAGCTCCTGATCGTCAAAAGTTATTGGGACCTGTCACTTTGAGGTCACAGTGCTGGGGACACGCAATTGACAGCGACGCTAGCTGTATGCATATATATGGCAACATGGCATTAAAGCCCACCGCCGTGCTGCCATATATATGCATACAGAAGTAGGAAGGGTTTGATCCATAGAGGGCATGGAAGACATCAACTGTAAGGAAAGGTTAGATGAACGGACACCCTTGAGAAGAGACAAATAATGGGTGATAAATATATAGATACATTTCTATATAGAAAATATAGTGGACAGCTGCTCACTTAGGGCAGCACATAAGACAACAACATAATGGATACAATAGTGGTGTAGGGGCCAGGAGAACGAACCAATGAACACAGCACAACCAGAAATTCTGGCACTCCCTAAAGTGTTCCTGAATCCTGAAGACTCCAAGAAGCAGAATTTCTTCAATACAAAGTTTGGCACTACGGATAGTGGAATAGGGACCGGTTTTCTTTGCAGGCGGCACTTTAAAAAAAAAAAAAAATATTCAAATAATGAGTCTCTATACGGCTCAAAATGCCAAGAAAGTACAGCTGTTACCTTCTTACACTAAATATATATACACTATATTGCCAAAAGTATTTGGACGCATGCCTTTACACACACATGAACTTTAATGGCATTCCAGTCTTAGTCTGTAGGGTTCAATATTGAGTTGGCCCACCCTTTGCAGTTGAGGTCAGGACTCTGTGCAGGCCAGTCAAGTTCCTCCATCCCAAACTCGCTCATCCATGTCTTTATGGGCCTTGCTTTGTGCACTGGTATGCAGCCATGTTGAAACAGGAAGGGGCCATCCCGAAACTGTTCCCACAAAGTTGGGAGCATGAAATTGTTCAAAATGTCTTGGTATGCTGATGCCTTAAGAGTTCCCTTCACTGGAACTAAGGGGCCAAGCCCAACCCCTGAAAAACTACCCCACACCATAATCCCCCCTCTGCCAAACTTTACACTTGGCACAATGCAGTCAGGCAAGTACTGTTCTCCTGGTAACCCCCAAACCCAGACAGCTTTACAATGCACCTGGTGATGTAAGGATTGGATGCAGCTGCTCCGCCATGGAAACCTATTCCATTAAGCTTTCTACGCACTGTTCTTGTGCCAATCTGAAGGCCACATGAAGTTTGGAGGTCTGTAGATATTGACTCTGCAGACTGTTGGTGACTTCTGCACACCGTGCGCTTTTGCCCGCTCTGTCATTTTACGTGGCCTACCACTTTGTGGCAGAGTTGCTGCTGTTCCAAGTTGCTTCCACTTTGTTATAATACCAGTAACAGTTGACCGTGGAATATTTAGTAGCAAGGAAATTTCACGGATGGACTTATTGCACAGGTGGTACCACGCTTGAATTCCCTGAGCTCCTGAGAGCGACCCATACCAGGGAACTGATTGGAAACTCTAGGAAAACAAGTCTGAGCCCGACTTCCATTTCACATATCTTTCCATGAAGATCAGAAATTCATTTTTAAAAACGATGGGGTCATCTAGATTTTATTTACAACAAGAAGCATCAATAACGGGCAGGGAAAAAAAACACCCTGCAACACCCAGCCTTGCAGAGCGTTCAATAAAATGCATAGGCTGAGAAGTTGTGAAGGAGCTCTGCAGAGAGTGTGGAGGCTTCTCTATAGTAGTCCAATTCATCAATGTCTGCAGGTCGCTGGATTGAAAAGCAAACATGCTCTGACCAGCATCCATGTAAATCACTGTGATTGGTTTGATGTCTCTTTCATTCACTGAGCTCGGATGGCAGTCACACATTGTTAACTGGATGTTAGCCCGCTTCACATTTTGCTTGCGTAAAGGAATGTCGGCCAAGGAACGGCAGTGGGGGAAAAATTAAGTGTAAATGGAAGACGTGGCTGTAAGCACAATGGGAGGGGGGGGTTTGCTGGAATTGTATAGATTGGGTACGTGGCTTGGTACATTACAGGCCTGGGCATTAGTTTATATCAATCTATGCCCATTAAAATATCTGTGTATATGAGCATCCGAGTTGTCAAGAAAAAAAGTGAAGTAATTTACGTTAAATCGTTAAACATTGATGTGCTTTAAGGAATCATGGAGGCTGCTATTGATGACCATTCCTTCTGAAAATGTTATTTGTCTGGCTGTCAGGCTTATGATTTGGCTTCAGTGCTGCAAGGGTTAACTGCTCATTTTGGTCTAGGGCTGAAAATAACAGTCAGTCAAGGTGCACATACACCTTACAACCTTCGCAAGACTTTAGCTTGCGATGGTCGTAAGCTAATTAAAAGCTCGTACGATCTGCCCAGCTTCCGATGACTGCAATGCTGAACGGGCAGTGCGCACACCGGCCCGTTCTGCATTTGTCGAATGAGCACGGCACTAATCCGCCGACAATCGTACGATTCTCGGTGGGTTTTCTAGCATGCTCCTTCGACAAAAGACGTGCAACCGCACAGTAGAAACGGTC